TGAAGGTGGATATTAAGCTCTCTTCGGCTTTTCATCCTCAAACTGACGGTCAAATGGAGCGGGTGAATCAAGTTTTGGAGCAGTATTTACGATGCACCATCAACTATCAACAAGATGATTGGACTGCATATCTACCGCTTGCTGAGTTCGCATACAACAACACTCTTCATGCGTCAACTCAACAAACACCATTCTTCTCCAACTACGAATACCACCCCAAGCTCGATTTATTGAGTTCTTCAGCAAATAACAACCCAACAGCTGAAGGATTTGTGAAGCAACTATCGGAGCTTCAAGCGACGTTGAAGCTTCAATTGCAATCTGCCCAAGAGAGTTACAAGGCATCTGCAGATAAATATCGAAATGAGGTGCCTACTTTTAAAGTTGGAAGTAAAGTATGGCTTCTTCGACGGAATATCAAGACCAAGCGGCCATGTGACAAATTGGACTATCGAAGATTAGGGCCATTTGTTATCGAGAAGCAGATCAATCCGGTGGCATATCGTCTGGAGTTACCAGCTACTATGAAGGTACATCCAGTCTTTCACGTGTCTTTGTTGGAACCTTATCGAGAGTCAGCTTTTCCCCAAAGAGTACAAAGTTCGCCACCAAGTATCGAAATTGAAAACCATGAGGAATACGAGGTAGAAAAGGTACTAGATTCACAGCGTAATAGGAGAAAATTGGAGTATTTAGTGCATTGGAGTGGATACGACATCAATGAACGAACGTGGGAGCATGCTGAAAATCTTGCCAATGCACCAAAAAAGGTACAAGAATTGTATCAACGATATCCTCATAAACCTAAGCCGATTCAACGATAGCTTCTTGCTGAAGCTTGCTCATCAAGTAGCATAAAAAGGGGGGAGGGCACCTCCAAAATCCATAGTTCGATAGTGTAGAACTTTGTTAGCAACTATAGTTTGCTCTCATCATTTTAGCCTTTAGACATGGATAGTCAAGATACTACACTTGTTATGTCATCTCAAGCGACTAGCTCACGAAGACGACCGCGAGATGAAGAACCGCCTATACCACGACGACGTCGGAGGATACCGAGCAACAGATCGCTAGTAATTGTATTTGAGGTCGAGCCTGCCTACGACGGTCAGCCAGAAGGTGTGTTTGGAGGACAGTTTCACAATGAAGACACAGAAGTCCACGCTTGGTCAGAGGTTGAAGGTGTTGGTCACTACCGTTGGCTCCAAGGACCGATGAATCATTTGCCTCGCGAACAACAATTGGAATTCATAGCGGATGTGATGCGACAGATTTTCATTTTCTTGCGTTGGTATTGACTGATAACAACATTGCTTCTCGGAGACCTCGAAGTTAGAAGAGGAGGTGATGTCATGGACATACATTGGAAGATTCTTCCAATATTCTTCTAGAATATTCTCTAAAGATTCTCTAAAGATTCCTTTAGAAGGTTCTAGAAGATTCTTAGAATATTCCCTAAAGATTCTCTTAGAAGATTCTAGAATATTCTGATAGATTCTAGGAAGTTGCTCGAGAAGTTTCATAATTAGTAGAAGTTGTTGGAGAAGCATCCTAGTTAGCGGAAGTAGCTCAAGAAGCTTCCTATTCAGTAGTATATATAGGAGTCGAGGCTGAAGGGTTCTTCAGTCTCGACAACACATCTCTTGGAGTTCTAGCTCACCTTTCTGGTGTTGTTCTTGTACTCATTTGTTTAATCTAGTTTTGCCACTTCTTCTTGAACTTCTTGTTAGATTTCAAGTCTGTATTTTGTGTCCGTGACAACCATCTATTACAATAGATGAATTATTTGCATGCATGATTGTAGAAGCTCTTTTTTGTAAGGAAGATAATCTTAAACCTTGAACCATTGAAGAAGCAATGTATTACTTTGACTAGTTAAAATAGAAAATTACAATTGAAGATAAATATATGTCTTTGCGTAAGAAAAAGTCTTTGGTCTAATTGTGGATACTCTTACATTTCGCCTTGTAGGATATAAGATAGTAGTAATATGCAAGCAAGATGCTAAAGATCAAATAATTCACTATAAAGCTCATCTTGGTGTCCAAGGATTTATCCAATAATTTGGCATTGATTATGAATCCACATATTTTTCAATCATGGATTCAATTACATTTGGATATGTTATTAGAATGGCACTTCATGGCACCTTTCTAATATATTTAATGGATGTAGTAATTACATATTTTTATGGTTTTCTTGATACAAATATTTATATAAAATTTCTACTTGGTTTGGAAATAAAAACTCCAAATGTACTTGGTCTAAGACAATATTGTGGTATTAAATTATGCAAGGCCTTGGATAGTCTAAAATAATGTGGATGCATGTGATATCATCTTTTCTATGATAGTTTAATTAAAAACAAGTTTGTAAGTAATCCACTAATTCATTGTTTGTTTATCAAACAAGATAAAATTAGTTTTGTAATAATTTCTATTTATGTTGATGATCTAAACCTAATAGATATTAGATTTACATATATTGCATCTACAAAATTATTCATCTATGAGTTTGAAATAAAAATTCTAGAAAAAATAACTTTCTACATTAGTCTTCAAATTATGCATCTCACAAATAGTAGCGTTCTTCTCTACCAATTAATATATATAAGGCAAATCTTATAGAGATTCAATATAATTGATGCTTATCTATTGTCAACACCAATAGTTGGACGTGGTCATAATGGTGATGATCCATACCATCCCTGTGAGGAGGAAGAAGAGAAAATATTGAGAGATCAGTATCTATATCTTATAGCAGTTGGAGCACTTTTATATTTAATTACATCTACAAGATCAAATATTACATTTGTAATTAGTATCCTTCCAAGAATTAGTACATGTCTAACACTATGATATTAAAATGACATCAAAAATTTATTATATTATTTAAAATGTACTAAAGACTTGAGGTTATATTATAAACTATCTGCATATCCAAAATTGGTTGGATATTATGATACAGGATATAAATATGATATTGTAACAACTAAATTTCAAACAAGCTATGTATTTTTAAGACATGGAGCTGTGACATCATAGAAATTAGTGAAACAAACTATAATTGCAACTTCATCCAACTATACAAAAATTATTGCTTTACATGAAGCATATTGGAAATGTATTTGATAGCGATCAATTGATAAATCCATTTAGACAACTTGTGGACTTTTATATTATGATTCTCTAACTATCTTTTATGAAGATAATAGTGCTTGTATTGCACACATGCAAGTTGATTTCATTAAACGCAATAAGACAAAGCATATTAATCCAAAGTATTTTAGTTGTCTCTATGACTTGGTTACTAATCAAGCACTTAAGATCAAGAAAATTGAATCTGCAAATAATCTTGCTAGTTACCTCACTAAAGTTCTTTCTTTGTGCAACTATTCTCAACTTAGTAATAGCATTGGTATGTGACAACTTACTTTTTTTGAGCAAGAAAGTTAATGAATTCTTTAAATAAATAAAAAAATGATGTTATATTTTATTTTCTTCACTTATAATTTTATCCTTGAATACAATAAGTTTTTTCTAGATAATGTTTTAATGAGGTAGCAAGCATTGATCTTACAAGATTACAAAAAAGTATAGATCATAATTCTATGCAAATTTTATGTTATATAAATATTATGACAAGTGAAAAAGAGTGTTGATAGCATTAAATGTTGCCAACGCTCTCTATAATATTTATTATAGTTTATAATAAATATTATAATTATATTGTTTGAAATATAGTAGAGAGAAACTGTTTATCTTCTCTCTTTCTCTTTATATATATATATAAGACAACTACATCAATATACTTTTGTTTTTTGTATGTGTGTGTGTACATAAAGATAAATCATCTTAGCACCATGCTTACTTTGGTATTAGTTCGAGTATTTCTATTTACATTCTTACTCTAGAGGCAATGCTTATTGTTGGTTGTTATTATTATTATTATTATTAGTGTTATTATGATTAAATAACTTATATTTAGTGATAACTTGGCAAATAATTTGAAAGTAAAATTTTAAAAGTTGAATAATAATAAATATAAAAATAGAAGATCTAATATCATTTTTTAAAAAGTAACATATAAGTGACTTCCAAAATTATAATCCTAATTTTAATGTGTATACCCAAATGTATTGCAATAAGACATAATGGTCTAAAAATATATATATTTTTTATTGGTTTTCTAATGAAAGAAATTGAGCTTATTTTTTTTTTCTAAAATATATTCAAAAAAGGAGATACAAATTTTAACTACTCCTAATTGTAGAATGTTTCTTTGACAATACTTGTTTAGAAAATAAATATTATTAAATGCAATATCCATCAAAGTGTTTGATGCTTATTGAAAAAATTAATATTGTGATTATAATTTGATATTCTACTTCAAAGCATTTTAAAATTTTATGTTTTAAATTGTGATGTGAATCTTCAAAAGTATATCTTTTAGCTCAATTATTACATGTATTGAATAGGCATACAATTGGACAATGTACTTTTGAAGTTTTCATCTAAATTAACAAAAATAAAATGTCCTTTTTGTATCACGACATTTATAGTAGTAATATCACATACATACATACACATACACATATCTATATATGTATATATTGGCACAAATACAAAAGAATTCCATTGGAAGGGAACCATAATGTTGGCCTATATCACATATATTTTTAAGATTAGTTTTGATTGCAAAAACCTAATCATAGAAAAAAATACATTTTCCAGGAGATTGTAAAGAGCGCAGAGGACAAAAGAAGCATTCATGTCAAAAACGCCAAAAAAGGAATCTCCATGCCAACAATGATAAAATGACCATTAGATAACCATTCCCTCAGAATGCCTTGGGAACGAAGCCAAAGGGTATTCTCCGGGTATAAATGGGCAGAGATGCAACAGGATACAAACCATGACGTCATCAGGGTGTATATACGAGGGGTGGTCCGGGCACGGATATTAGGGCAAAGGGGGGGGGGGGGGTATCCGAGCAGGGAGGGCGAGAGCCTCCAGCACTCGCAGTGTCAGCTCTCTTGCTCCATCGCTTGCTTTGCCTGCTTCGATCGATTGATCACGTCTCTCGCTCTGTTTTTCGTCTGTTCGATCGGAGTATTCCACTCGCACCGCCCAACTATTTTTCACTATGTTCACCTCCTTCATGAGGTACGTTTATTGCCCTTCTTTCTTAGCCCAATTGGGGTTGCAAATAGTCTCGTGGACTGCTAGAACGGAGGGGGAGAGCTTGTGGTGTGTGAGACAAGCGATCGGGATTCTGGTTTTGCAGTTTCGGGAGAGGATTTCGTTTTTTCTTTTCTTTTCTTTTCTTTTCTTTCCTTTGTAATATTTCTCTATTTCGCATGAATTCAAAGGTAGCTTACTTGGTTGTAGATGTTCATGGTGGTGGAAACTAGGGGTTCCATGGGTCGGAAGCGTTGGATTTGTATTCTATCGTATTTTTCCACTCGAGGGCGATGCGTGCGTCGCTTGAATTACAGATCGGTGTAGTTTGTGTGTATGTTTTTTTTTGTGTTTTTTTTTAAATCTCCCGCTACATATCCTTGAAGCATCAATAATTAGCTGGAGGCATATTGCGGGGACCTCAGAAAAGTGGTCTTCGAACACCTAGAAGCTCAGTTTTTGTAGGATTTTGTTGAGGAATTGTCACATCCTGGGATGTTTTCAGAGAGTAGGGTTAGGATTTTGTTCAGTAGCATGGCTTACGGGGAAAGCATCTCCTTGTGGCCTAAATGGGGCGCAAGCTCCATTATGATTGAAAGGAGTTTTACAGTTGCGGTCCCTTACAGGATTCAGACTGAGTAGGTGTACGTCGACTCATGCTGGCTCCTTGCATGGGATGAACCTCAATTCTGGAAACCTAATACCTGTTTAGCGGCGTTCCCACGTAGACTATGCAAATCATATTTATAATATGCTGGAATTGATTACTCAATTTGCTCAATTAATATGCAGGGGTGGACAGCAACAACAACAGCAACAACAACAAGGACAACCGCCCCCTCCATTACAGAGCTGGTACCCTCCTCCTGTTGTAGGTCCATCTAACACCGGACTGTCACGCGTGCCACCACCTCCAAATTTTGGAGCTCCTCCACCTGGGATAAATCCTCTTGCCTGGCAACCCATCTCTGATGCACGTCCAGCTTCATCTATCTATCCATCGAGTACTTTGTCTGGATCCTATTCGAGAGGTTATACACGACCAAATAGTTCGCAGGTCTCGTCTTCGGGGTCATACTCATCAAATTCAGGCGCTTCTAATTCAATGGCAAGCTTGGAAGCTAAGAGGTCAGCTTTTAGTCCACAGGACGGAGCGTGTTTTTGTTAACCAGTGGGCGCTGGTCAAATTCCCCATGACATGTATCGTTCTATGAAGCTAAGGAGGCGATGTAGGGGCGACCTGTATTTTAGGGCAGTAATTGTAGAGGTATTGGTCCCCTTTGGGAGAATCGTTAGGTTGAATTCATTAGTGCAATTGACCTTCAACCACGCCGTTATAATTTTGACTTAGCATCCTGGGGGTAATGATGGTATTTCGTAGGTATCTTAATAGACGAAGGGTGCTGGTGTACTTTTGCAACTTAACCACTAATGATTCTTATTGCAGTTCTGCGTTTGTGCCTTCCTTATGTGCAGTCCTGAAGAGCTGACCAGGTTGCTTAACGATAAAGATGCATATAATGCGTACCTTCACTCACTTGATGATGTGAGGCGGCTGGACACGGTATCTACTTGTATCTATGTCTTAGTTTTCTTCAATAAGGGTGTTCGAGTCTCTGTGACCGTTCCTCGCACATCATGGGAGGGATCATGGAGGATCACATTGCAGATTAGCCTAGTTTTGTTCTTGAGTGTTTTGTTCAACGTACCCTTTTTAGAAAGTCTTGAATCAGTAATTGGTGAAATACTTGGAACCTCGTCCTTGAATTGACAGTTTTGGAGTTCATTTCCTGTTTTAGGACAAGGTCAGCAAGCTCAGTCACATTCAGCTAAGTAGATTTGCATGACAATTTCATTTCATTGCATTGTCAGATTTACTTTTCTGTGGCAATTTGCAGATTAATGCTGAATTGGAGAAGTCAACTATAGATGAATCAAGTGAGTTCAAAGCATTTGTTTGGTTGTCTTACTGTAGAGTCTTGAAAGACCACTCATGGTTTTATGGGCGAACTTGACTTAGTTGTATAGAAATATTCACTGCAAAAAGCTGCGTTCTTACATGCTGCATTGAGCAGGAAACAATTTGATGAAGGAGTCAGAACTTGCTGAATTGAGGACTCAGGTATGATTTTCAATGAGTGTATTCTTGCTTTCCTCAGTCATGCTTGATTGTTCTTTGATATTGTGAACATCATTAGAAATTCACTATTTTTTTATTTTTTATTTTTATTTTTTGTTTTTTTCTCTCTTCTATTTATGCAATTTAATGCAAATTTTGGTGTGCAGTTGAAAGAGCCGGTCATGGAAGGTGTGTGACAGTATCCATGTGTGTGTATGTGTACCACAGTGTATGATCATTAGGAACACAGAGCTGGCTGTTAGTCGAGAAAGATTCGAGGAATTGGAAAAGCGATATAAAGATATACAAGCCAATTGTTCGATACCTGCCCTTCTTCACAAACTTCAAGGTTTGATTCAATTCTAGAACTTTTATTTTTATGAATTGTGATATATGACCTTTTTTCGTCTGAATAAACGACCTTTTACTTCCATCATATTCTAACCAACGGCGTGGGATGTGAAGATGCTACAAATGAAGCCGATGAAGTGTCTGAAAACCTGCATCGTAAATTTCTAGCTGGAGAAATCGAGTTACTCGAGTTTATTCGCGAGTATCGTCAGCTGCGTCTTCTCTACCACAGACGGTCCCTGATCCGCATGTCGGCTCTGTCTTCCATGCCCACTCCAGGGTAGTTTCATTTGTAGCAAAATTTAAACGTATTTATTTAGGTACTAGTTGTACAGTGGATTTGTTAGTCCCACATTAGACAAAGGATGGTGATCCAAGTCTTTTTTCACAACGATTGTGAATCGGGTCCCTATGGATTCTTGGTGGCTATGACGATACCTGTATTTGTGACGTGTAATGTAGGATGTCAGGATAATCTATCAGTTTCTTCAGGCGTGGAATTTTCATGTCGAAATAAACTTTGCTACAGGCAGAGGTTTAGGGAACCTTGAGGGACTGCTTATCTTGTTGTGTGTTTGTTGTTGATGGATTGAGCACGATTTTGAGTGCAGTTTCTGCTGACATTTATCGTCCAGTCAATGGCTCAGTCATGCAGGCATCGGTATCCGTCTCGCAGCAGTTTCTCTCATCGTAATGTTAACTGCTAATCTTGTGTTCAGTTCCTAGGGTTTGCTGTTGTTTCCGTGTTTGTTTTGTGTAACAGTAGTTTTTCCAGTGTCTTAGAATTCAGCCTACTTGAGAGTGCCCTCATGAAACCAACACTCCGTATTGTGGAAAACTTTTCTGGAAATCTGCATCGTGACAACTTTTCCTTGTTTCACATTCTTGAATTTTTTCCAGGCCATTTTCAATTTGTTTGATGTCTCTTAATGTGAAGTGAAGATGTGATGTCTTATTGCGTCATCAATCCTCTAATTTCTTTAAAACGGTATGACCTTCCTGCTTGCACTAACCAAAAGAGATTGTTGGAAACATAAAATGGATGGTAGAATGATATGGAATTATATGTATTTAAAATATAGTAGGTTGCAGGATTAATTAGACAATTGAAGTGTCTACTTATGTCGTGAGCAAAAACAAAGATAAACAGATTGTTCAAACACTATTCTTGCCAGGTGATCTTTAGATAAAAAAAAAAAGAATAAAAAATGGAAACATGCACTTCAAATAATATACAGTAAAAAAAAAGAAAAGAAAAGAAAAGAAAAGAAAAGAAAAAAAGACAATATGAATTGCCAATAAATCCTATTACATCTTTTCAATATAGAATCTCAAAAGTAACTCTTTAACTTTAAGTAATAACCGTCTTATTATCTTTAAGTTATTTAGTTTGAGGAACAACGAACATTAATTACAAGAAAAATAGCTCCAATCGCGCATGAATGCATCACCACCACATAAAAACTACGAGCAACGGTCCGTGTTCTTGGTAGATCCCATCACCCTTCTGACCACTAAAACTGGTGCACACATTAGATTAAACATCTACTGATCCTCACACTTAACATACTATCACCAATCCTCCCACAGAGCTCCATAATGAGCACCTAGCATAGGAGTCACCTTGGATCTATTAGAAAATTGTCCCCAAGTCCTTTGTCGATAACAGTTCTGAGTTCGTGCGCTGAGCGAGTGAGAATACTATTCCTAGCAATTCCGGTTAAGTTGGTCGCGGGTCATATCAGAGTAGTACTCATTCCCTGCAAACTGGAAATGCTCTTTCGATGGTTTAGAGTGGTACAAACGCTCTCTCTCTCTCTCTCTCTCTCTCTCTATATATATATATATATATATATTCTTTTGAAACAAACTTGTGAACCATCAACCACGGTGACTACCCAATTCTTGGCCGCATTGCAGTACGTGGCTACGACAAGGAGACGTAGTCAGTGCTCCACAGCAAAAGTACGTGTATTGAAGTTGTTGCGCCCAGAAGGCACAGTCACAAGCAAGGGCTCTCTCGTCGGTTGCTTGAACTGCACAAAAACATATAGGTGAACGCCGATGGAAGGACACGGACCGACATACGACACGACTTCCTTCCCTGATGTGCTAGGTCTAGTGGCGCCTTGATCCGCCTCACTTGGAAGCTCAGCCCTGCACAATAAAAAAAAAAAAAAAGAAGGAAAAAAATAACATAAACTGTCCCACCGTGATCAGTTTCATCGACGACAATCAGAACCACTTCGAAGGGATAAACCGCAATGCCCTGCTTCTTTTCTTCACCGCAGATTCACACCAACTCAGAGCGTGTGTATCGTACTGACAAGGGAGCCCTGTCCGCAGCCTCGCATGAAGAAGGTTTGATCAACTGCAACACTTGGACGATGGCCGCTTCAATAAAAATAGAGAGTGGGTCCTAGGAGGCCCGGACTCCTATCTACAAGGAGGCTACTGCCATTCAGGGGCAGCCTCTCATCCTCTTGATTGTCTTTCTATTTTTATTTTCTTTTATTATTATCATTATTTTTCCTTCATTTTCTTTTCTCTTTTTTTCTTCTCTTCTTCTTTCTTCATCTTTTCTTCTTCTTTCTCTTCTACTTTCTCTTCTATTATGTTTTTTTCTTTTCCTATTCCTTGGTTTGCTTCTAACTTATAATTTTATTTATTTATTTTTCTATTATTATATATATTTTTATAACTACTAATATATATTTTTTCTTTTGATGATAAGGGCTACTTCCATTGAGCCACCATCTAATGTTAGCTACAAAAAACATATTCATCATAGAAATTTGTCTCAATATATTTCATCCTATATTGCATATCTACTATTAGCAATCTTTTTTTCTATTTACCTAAGAATTTCTCTACTAACTCACAAAACTTGTGATTTAAAGTATAATAAGTATTTTTTTTAATAATAAATATTCATGTGAGTTAATTCAATGATTTATATTTATCCATCTAATTGACATTCATTCAATCTATGCAATAAATGTCATTTAAATTTTTCATCTATAAAACTATCATGGACATACAATTAAAGAAGGTTCCAAAAGATTTTAGAAGATTTGAGAAGGCATCAGTAGATTCTAAGAAGGCTCTTGAAGGTTCTGGGAGGCTTTAGATGATTTAGGAAGTTGCTGAAGAAGGATCTTAGGTTTGCTTTATTTTCAAGCCTCATAGAAACTTCTCAAGAAACTTCTTAGGACCTTGTAAATATAGGAGAATAAGTTGAGAGGATCCTTAGTCTCGACAACTCACTTCTTATGGTTTAGCCATGACCTTCTTGTCTTCTATCTTGATGTTGTTCTAATGTCTAATTAGCTCTATTTCTTGGTCTTGAATCCTTGTCTTGTATATGGTCTTTAATAGTTTGTTGAGACTACCATAAAACAATATTACGAGCTTAGTCTTTCTTAACAGAGAGTGGATTATCTTTCTTCTTAGAAGTACTATAGCATTTTAGAGGTTGCGGATTACCCTCTCCTAGACTAATATTGTTCTTTTCTTAATATTCTTTTGGTTACTTTCTTTTATATCATAGATCAAGTTTTTTTCTTTTAAAGGCATGTGTTTCTATGATTTTCTATGGCAGAAGGTAGAAAAGTCAATAGGACAAAATATAAAGAGATCAAGTTAGATTTTATTATTAATGCTCTTGAATCATTGAGGATTAGAATACAGACTTTATCAAAGAATAATGAAGAACTATATATGACCATACATAATGGTGAAAGAGCCAAAGTACCTCAACTACTACATCAAATTATAACAGAGTTTCCAAATTCTCAAATTACTATGTCTACTTCAAACATGGGAAGTGTATCCACTCTAGGCAATGATCTAATAACAATAATAACAAAGAAATCAAAGATCAGCCTTTTAAAAAAGTTTAATGGCATTCACTTAAAGTTTTGTGGCTTTATAAACCAAGTATGATTAATCATCTTACTTCAACTTCAATGATATTCTATTGAAGTATCTCGTTTTGGTTTGGATGGAACCTTGCTCTTGAGTCAAGCTTTATCTTCATTTGCCCCATTATTTAAAAAGAATTCTCCTATACTACACAATTTTGAAGCATTTTTGGTAGCATTTGTAGAAGCATTTGGTGAACATGATAAGATTCATTCTTCAACAATTAAAATTCAAAGCCTTCGGCAAAGAATACGCTTTATATCAATGTATGCCTTAGATTTTTGACAATTAGCATATGATATAAATTAGGGAGAAGATGCATTGATGAGCCAATTTCATAAGTGATTAAGAGACGATTTCAAGGACTTGTTGTTGTCTATGCCAAATCCTCTAATACTCAATGAAGCCATTAGTGAAGCTGTGAAGTACAATAATAATTTATTTCAATGATGACAAGATAAACATTCTTCAATTACGCCACATGTATACACCAATTATTTTGTAGCTTCTTCACTATCCAATTCTAATGAGCAGTTCAAAGTAGAAGATATGCAGATTGATGTAATTTGCTTCAAATCTCTTTTTGAGCAAGAAAAAAAATGTCGAAGGGAACTTAGTCTATGCTTATATTGCAAAAAACCTATCCATAAGGTTAATAATTATTTAGAAAAATATCAGTGTATATATCAAATGAGGAGTGCGGCCACATCATTAAAAGCATTATAAGAAAACAAGGGCGTCCGATGTAGTAGGAACCGTGCGGCTGGATTCTTCACTATTACAAACCAAAAAAAAATTTGTACTCTCTGCTAGCCCTTCTAGTTGTTTTAATATAACTGTATGGTTAGGAATCACAAAATTAGATTGTCATGCATTACTTGATTCAGAATTCTCTGCATGTTTTATTAATAAAGAATTTTCTAGATCACATAAAATTTGTACGATCAAACAATCTAAAGCCATACATGTAGAAATAATAGATCGTTGACCTTTATCCTCTAAAGACATCACTCATGAAACAATTCTATTAGAAATAACCTTTGACAACCATAGTAATCAAGTAGTATTCAGCATCATTAGATCACTATCAAGTCTAGTCATTTTAGGACTCTCATAGCTTGAAAAATATAATCCAAAGATAGATTGAGTATCACAAAAGTTAGAATTTCTTCTAGTAGATCATGGAACCCTTAGATCTATAAATAAGCTTCTAATATCCTATAAGCCAAAACTTAAACAATATTTATTTATTAGAGCTTGAGCATTTGTGAGGGCCACCAAACAAGGTACTATGTTTGCTGTCTATGCAAATCTACAATCAGAACTTGTGGTTGCTACAACAAAAATTCCAAAGGCATATAAGGATTTTGTAGATATATTTGAAAAGAAAAATGCGAATATCTTGCCAAAGCATCACTCTTACAATTAACCTTCAAGAAGGTATGTGATGTCTAATGCTTTTTTGGATTTGCAAACTTCTACAAGATTTTTGTTAAGAATTACTCCAAGATTGCTACTCCACTTATGTGATTGACATACAAGGACAAACTAGACTGAGGCCCTAAAGCAAAGAAAGCTTTTCAAAGCTTAAAAGATACTTTCACAATAGCTCCAATTTTGATACATC